GGGCGCAGGCATAAGCAGGGCTGCGGGTGCAGATGTGGGCGCAGATACAGGCACAGATGTGGCTGTGGGTGCAGATGTGAATGCAGACGCAGGTGCGGGCATGGGTGCCCAGGCAAGAAGTAGTCGCCCAGGGCCCCGACCTGCCTCCTGCCCCAGGCCACTGCCCTGCCACCTTCCTCCCTCCTGCTCCCAGGTCTTCATCGCCATGGATGCGTGCCGGATGCAGCCGGCGTACAGCCGGGCCATGGCTGCGCTGCTGGAGAACCTGGACGCCTTCACCACTGCCGCAACCACGGCCCAGGTGCTGCCGGTGCTGCATGGCCGCTCTTACCTGGACATCGCCTCCATGCGCTGCCAGGAGGAGCCGGGTAGGAGCCGGGGTGGCGTGGGGTGATATGGGGGAGCTGGGATGGGGTTGGTGTGGATGCCACCGCGGCGGTGGCTTGGTGTCCATCGGTGCCGTGGCGGCTTCCTTCTCGCAGACACGCTGACGCCCCTCGGCCCCGAGCTGCCGCCCGAGATGCCGGGGAACGTGACGGTGCGGCTGGTGGTGGAGTGCCCCGAGCCGCGGTGTCCCCAGCACCGACTCTACGACCGGCCGGTGCCTGCACCCGCTGGTGCCTCCCTCCTGGACGTGCTCAGGGCAGCCGCCGTGCGGGGACCCCACAACTTCACGTACGTGGCCCCGCGTACCGGGGTTGGGGGGGATCCTCTGGGGTCCCTGGCTGTCACACCCGGGCTGGCCACGTGCCCCGCACCCGTGCCACGGTCTCACCCCGGTCCCCACCGCCTGGCTCCCTTGGCACCAGATCTGCCCCAGCGCCAGCAGTGCCGGACCCGGACCCTCACCCCCCCCTTTCCCACCCGCCAGGTTTGACACCCAGGACACCCCCCAGGGCCCCTTTCTGAGCAGGGTGCTGGGGCTGGAGGCTCGGCAGCAGAAGCGGAGCTACTGGCAGCTCCTCACTGCCCCCAGCACCAGCCTGCAGATGGGTGAGTGATGGGTGGGGGTCCCCAGGGGAGGCGTCGGGCGTCCCCGGGCAGCCCCCACGGCTGCTCTCCCACCTTCTCTCCGCAGGCATCGCCGACTACAGACCTCACGACGGGGAGACCCTCATCCTGCGCCTGAGCGAGTGGTAGAAGGCGAGCAGGGGGGTGATGGCAATGAAACTTCTGCCTTGGGAACAGGACCTGCCGGCTCCCTGCCTCCTGCTTTCCCTGCGCCCTGTGTGCCAGCACCCCAAATCCGCCCTGGGGAGGAGGAGGAGGAGGGGGGACACGCACAATGCCCTGTGTTGTACGGGCACGGTGGGTCGGGAGCAGCACCTGGACCAGCAGCTCCTCCGGTCCCGGCCCCACTCGGGGATGGGGCAGGCAGCCGCTGGGAGCAGCCAGTTTTGGGGTGCCCAAAGCAGCTGGTTTTGGGGAGGCCGAGCCAGTGTTGCTCGTCCCCAGCAAGCCGCCAGCCAGGGCTGTCCTCCTCTGTAAACCCTCTGGGGGGGGCCCCCGGCCCACCCCATTGAGCCCCCACCCACCCCGAGGACTCGGGGACCGCGGTGGCCCCAGTGCCACGCGCAGCCCGAGGGGGACCTCCTGCGCGTGTCCCAAACCTCCGTGATCCACCCCCCATCCCCAACCCTGGGATTTAATCCAACCCCAAAACCACTCAGGGGCAGCCGGTGGTGAACGGAGCCGGGGGTTGCGGTGTCCGGGGCAGGGGGTGCCGCTGCCGTTTGGGGTCAGGGTTGCCGATACCCGGGTGGGCGACGGGTCCCGGGTGGGTGGTGGGGAGCGATGGCGCCTGCACCGCCGCCCCGGCGTGAGTCAGCCAGGGGCTCTGACGCAGTCCCACCGCCGCCGCCGTCACCATGGAGGCCGCCGAGTGTTCCTGCTCCGGCTA